ACTGAATAGATTTGCTTTGTACTGGAATCACATGTTCCAATGCAACATTTTGTGTGTTATCTCTGTTTACAGCACTTTTTAATTAAGCCATTAGGAGACTGATATCACCCATACTGGGCTCCAAATAATCTCAAGGGAGCCAACCCTGTTACCACAGTTCTATCCTTTCTGTGGCTACAGCTAAAGATGTACCTAAATGGTGTCAGTCACTGGCAGTGATCGTGTTCAAAGCCATAATGGTAGCCTATTGCTCTAAATGTGTGAGCAGCCAACCTATGTGCTCTAATGAAATCACCATTATGGAGGTATCAGTCCTAGAACTCGAAATTAGCCAATTAGTGGGACTTGGGTGTCTCAGAACAAGGCCCTAAACAAAGATGGCTGGCTATTATTAACTGAACACACTGTCTGGTTAGCTGTTGGCACGCTGGCAAGACAAAGAGTTCCCCACTATTTTTTCCTGGGGGGATTAAGGCAGGCTCATCAAGGCAGAACCGCATAAGGTGTGTGTGTGTGTGTGTATGTGTGTGTGTGGATGTGAGTCTATGTGAAAATAAATTAGAGCAGCCGGCAGAAAGTAGTTGTGTGTTAGTGTGAAAGAGGAAAACAAGCAAACAGAAGAAAAGAAGCAAGATACACATGTTAGAATAGAAACTGTTACAGTAGCAGTATTTTTTTTTCCTCTCTGAATGACATAGGTGTCATTTTTACATCCTTTCAAACCATACACCGATCAGCTATAACTTTATAACCACTGACAGGTGGTGTGTGTGGGGTATATTAGGCAGCAAGTGAACATTTAGTCCTCAAAGTTGATGTGTTGGTAGCAGGAAAAACAGTCAAGCATAAGGATCTGAGTGACTCTGACAAGGGCCAAACTGTGATGGGTGGATGACTGGGTCAGAGCATCTCCCAGACTACTGGGTGTCCCTGGTTTGTAGTGGTTAGTACCTACCAACAGCGTCTAAAGAAGGACAAACAGTGAAGTGGCGACAGGGTCGTGGGCGCCCATAGCTCACTGATGATGAGGTTGACCTACTGTAGAATAAACTTTTAAATTTCATTCATCATCATTTCATTCATTCAGGGTTAAGTTTATAAGATCACTTGTCCAAACAATTTTAATCCAATATGACCGCCGTGCAACCTTGTGAAGTGTACACAGTTGATTCAAGTTTTTAGGTAGTGGTGCTGGTGGATTGGATTACATACTGTAATATATTTAAGGACGGACAAAAACGCTTCTAGAAGTACTGCTCCCATGTTGTGCTGTGCTGCTCAAAGCTCAGTTGGAAGCAGTGCATTTAGCCAAGAGGGCTTTTGCTCGATCCCAATTTTACAGGGGATCATTTGGGACATTGATTCACTTCCTTCAAATTTCACACCCTGTCAAAATGAGAAACTGATTCCTAATTTAAGAGACATGACCATTTATCACAGCGTTGCCCAAAATGTTAAATACAAACCTGACACTGTAACCACTGGCAAACCTGACAGTAATGTAGAGTATATGTAACTGGCCAATCTTTAAGGTTATGAAATGTTGTGATGCCTCTGGTCAAATTCCACTATTACTTCTGCTCAAAGTGAATGATTGCACTATCTTCAGCTGGTCAGGGCTTTGGTTTGTTTGGCTCTACTGTTTTATTCAAGTGAGCCCTCAAAGGACCAGTTATACGATCAGAGTGCAAAACAACAGCACAGTGTAATTTATACAGTTCTGCCACAGTAGATTTAAGCCAGATGAAATACAGACCTGTGTTTGAGAGTCGTTTATGTATTTCCCTAAACGTGCTTGTAACTGTAAATGGATTATATTTTAACTGTGTAAACCTGGAAGAGAAAAATAAGTCAAAAGTTCTTTGAACCTGGGTTTTGGAAAACAGCTCATTTTTAAAGACAAAAAAATAAGGACACGTGAGATCACACTGATAAACCGTACGAGCCGTTTGCTTTAGTGTTCATAGGAATCAGTGGTTCACTTTCTGTAGCGCTACATTAGCATAGCAAATATTTTCACAAAAACACACACTTGATCTCTGCTTTATCCTGTGACTGTCAATAATGCTTTGAAAGCAAAGATGCTGGATCAGACTTCACTCATGTTGATCACCAGATTTATGATACAAGCCACCCCTGAGACCCTCCGCCATCACCCTCCTCTGCGTGCTTGCCTCTCATTCACATCGATTTTCTGTTGAGTGAACTTGAGCACTGACTGTCTTTATACAAACACAGTGTAGGGAGTTATAAACATGCCCCTTGATAACATTAGACCAGTGCAAAAACACTGCCTGGAAAGAAGGGAGAAATGTTTGAAACATGCATTCAGTCCAATCCACATGTCAAAGTGTCACTGAACAAGACACCAAACCCAGAGTTGTTCCCGGTGATATTGCCAGTTTGTGAACGTGTGAGGGCTTGTGTGTGCGAATGGGAAACAGTGTAAAGAGCTCTGAGTGCGCTTCAATGCACTAAAATCTGACTTTAATTGAAACTCAGGCTGTAACTTGCACAAAATCTGTCAGCCTTAGAGACAAGGGGTGCAAATCATTCTATGTGTATGTGCGTGCGCCTATGTCAGAGTGTGAGAAATGCGTGCACACGAGTCATAAGGCTTGTTCCAGACAGTCCTCTTCTTGGCTTTGCTAGTCATTGCTTTCATAAGATCAAGAAAGCCTCAGCAGTCCTGACAGGAAAACACATTTTTGGGGTGGGGGGTGGGGGGGTTATAGAGGGGTGGTTTTACAGAACACACAAATCAATTGGACCGGGGCCTGTAGTTACGTAAATGTTTGTTCAATAGACAGAAAGCTAGCTGGTGGGGAGAGCAGGGAGGTTCTGGTCTCCAGAAGTCATTATGCAACAGCAGCCAACTATATATAAGAGAAGAAACGCGGAGGATTTCTGTAAACTGAACACGTCTTTTTTGGGAACAAGGTACGCACTGACAATAGACTTTGGATTTTAAATTTTGAACTCAACAGCTAAAGTAAATCATACTTTTGCTAAAGGTCATTTTTAGTCAACTTTATATTTAATCCAAATGATTTCTAATTGGATCACTTCTTTGGCTAATCAGTTTATGGAATTCTATTCCTCTCTTTACCTGACTTGAATGGAAATGAACCAGCAATGTGGCTGACAAATCCTCTCTGTCACTGTTCCCTCTTTCACCTCCTTTTCTTAACTTGTCTGTCTGTTGCAACCACTGTCCTTTCTTTCTTTATGCTTTTCCCATCCTCTGAGGCAGAATGCTACGGTACGTTGTGGCCCTCTGTCTCCTGGCTTTGTCCTGGGCACAGGACTGCCAGGTGGCCAACATCCAGGTCATGCAGAACTTTAACAAAACCATGGTGAGTTGGAAATATACAGAGATTTATTAAGTTCTATGATTGTATTTATATCTACTTCAATAGTATAATCTATGGAGCTTTTCTGGTTATGAAAATCCATTTGAAGGCTGCCAGAGAAATGCGATCTGTCACATCACAATTTGTAATCCTATATCCCCACTTTTACTTGAAATGTTTGTGCTTTCATTTTAAATGAAAAACACTGGTGTGAAGTGGACTTTCACATAGATGCCTCTCTGATAGTATGCAGGGACATGGTATGCTGTAGGAAAGAAAGACCCAGATGGTCTGTTCTTACTTGACAACATCGTGGCCACATTTTCTATTGGAGAAGACGGCAAAATGACTGCCACTGCTAAGGGCAGAGTCATCATCCTTGAGTGAGTTCTTTATCGTGCAAGCTCAACTTTCTCCCACTTGAGCTGTGAATTTGTGCAACTTACAGCATTCTATGCATAAATTAGCATGTTTCTTCTTCTCACTTTGTCTTTATGTAATGTCTTACTCTCCCTTCAACCTCTAGCAATTGGGAAATGTGTGCCGAAATGTTTGGCACCTTTGAGGAGACCCCCGAGCCTGCCAAGTTCAAGATGAAGTACTGGGGAGCCGCGTCCTACCTGCAGTCTGGAAGTAAGTAACGGAACATTTACACTTCAACACTAATAGGAACAAACTTGAAAAAAATCTGACTAGAACTGATTGATGTCTGGCAAGGCACCTTATTAGCATAAGCTTATGGCATTGTCAGTTGGAAGTCACTGATATTGAATTGCAAAAGGGACTGTTGACCTTCAGACAACTGTTTATAATAGCTTAATTACCAATAGCAGCACTTGGTTATGTGCGACTATGACCCTGGAAAATAAATCAAATGAAATGCTCATTAGGAAGGCTTCAAAATGACCCTCCGAATAAATCATGTGATTGCAACTTTGACCTCACTTTGAGGCTAATGTTGTAAGTAACTGTGCTTTCATAAAATTTGAGGCTAATGAACAATTTCAGGCATGGCATGCAATCTCTTAAATGTCACTATGATGCCAGTACATCAACTATAGTATGGTGCACATCTACACTATTGTTTGAGGCCAGTACAAGCTGTTTAAAGGGGAATTTGACTCTATTATACCTGAAACAGTAGCATATGTGACACACTGTTCATCGCAGCTCTGAGACAAAGTGCTTATGAGAGGTACACAAAATGGCCACTGTTCAAGGATAGTTTGGTAAAATCTCCCCCCTCCCCACTCAGATGACAACCACTGGGTGATTGATACAGACTACGACAACTATGCCATCCACTACTCCTGCAGAGTAGTAGACACCGACGGCACTTGCCTAGACAGCTACTCCCTAATATTCTCCCGACATCCAACTGGTCTGAGGGCTGAAGACCAGCCCACCGTCACCCAGAAGAAATTGGAGCTCTGCCTGCTAGGCAAATATAGGCGTGTCCCACACACTGGTGAGTTGATTTCAACTAAGTGCTCCTTTGTTTTATGTAATGATTTATTGATCCATGCCTTTTGTAAGCCAGTGGTGTTCAATAAGGTCAAAGTTCAGTCAATCATTCTTTTAGTCCAAGTATGTAAAATCCTCACGATCACTAACTTGATTGGTGAGATGGATACTATTCAGAAATCGCTTTATCATGTTTATATTTTTGCATGGGTGAGATAATGGCATGTTTTCATGCTCACATGCTACTTAGTAAAATGTGTGTCTTCTGTTCGCTTCAGGCTTCTGCGAGGAGACCGCAATTTTTAATGAACAGTGATGCTTCTTCTGATGCATCAACTTCTGGGACTGTGCGCCTCTGTGGGTCTTGGGACTGTATCCCACCAACGCTCTTTTTAAGTCTCATCTACTGTCTATTATAACATTCTCCCTCAGACTAAAAACAGCGAAGTGGAAGCTGTTATATTTACATGACTTTACTGTAAATATAAAAAAAAGATGGATGCTGGAGAAATTTGCAATAGCATCAACATTAATACAGGAGATTCTGGGGCTTATAACATTTTAGTCTAACTTAACATCTGTCACTTGTATAGGATTTTCTTTTTTGTATAGAGATTTTAGAGCAGTGAAAAACAGCTCAACAAGTCATGGAAACCAGGTTCCTATGAGAAAACACCACGTATCAGATCACTGAAAAACAACTTTTGGAACATTTCATGTCAATGTGAAAAGTAATCAGCTGTGAAAATCTCTACAGTGAAGCTGAACTCTCAGGGGTATTGCAGCTCTGGAGTATAACCACCATGTTTACTAAGTAACACATTCACATATCACTGGCTTTGTTTTGACACTGAAGAAGCCATAAAAGCATTTATTAATAAACCTACATGAACACAGACATTGGTGTTTGTATGCTGTATACTTTGTGTTCCAGTTGTTGAAATAAAACACTTATGCCGGTTGGCTCATTCGATTTTTGACTGCTTTGAAATATTTAAGGATAGCAAATAATAGTCATATTGTTGACTTTGTACCAATCAGAAAACAAAATCAAATGCAGAATTTTATTTTCATCTTTACATTGTGCAAAAAAATAAATAAACAAAAACATGGGTGTGTGAGTGGAAGAGCAAAGAATCCCAACCTTTGCCTCCAGCTCCACCAGCAGGTTGGCTGCTCTAAAAATCGGCAGATATTTATCACCCAGTTTTTCATGTGGTGCAAACAGTAGGTCTAAGTTTTTACTTAAATTGAAAAAAATCAGTCTTCTGAATGATATCTCTGCTTCCCAGAAGATGGGTCCTACTGACACGGGTGATTCCCTGAATTTTCTTTTGGTGCCACCATGAGGCTAACATTTATAGTATTGAGGCTCAATAACTATTGGACAGACTGCCATAAGATTTAATACATAAAAAGTACTTGATGTTTGCCTCTGGATAAGTGCTATCACTCAAAATCTGTGTCTCTTACTTTGGTTTATAATACAGCATGTGCAAAACTAATGACACTGCTGTCGGCCTCAGATGTATATTGTAGCAAACCTTACAGTCACTTGCCAACATTAGTGAACATGGTGAAAATGACTACATACTTGTTCAAAACAGTAAGTGCAGCCTCACAGAGCCAGTAGTGTGGTTGTATATCCTCATTATTTTCATAGCATCATATAATCTAATGGGTACCATGGGACTGTAGAGATAAAAATGCTTTCTATGTTGTAAAACAGTCTGTCTCACAATATCACATCAGTTAGTTGGTAAATGGACTATACAGAAGATTCCTAATCATTGTCAAGTACAGTTAAGTGAACACAGAGCCAAGAAAATCACCACCCTTCAGGTTTCCACTGTGGATCATCTGTAACATCAAGTATCATAACAACTATAAACTGTAGAAACAGAAAAGGAAAACAAGAAGATCCACTCTGTATTAACTTAAATGGTAACTGATTTTCCATTCGTTTAACAGGCCTGTACTTAATTTTTACTTACTTAGTAACTGAGTAAACAACACCAGTACCAAAGAACTACTGTGATAGAATGAGATTTACATCTTTATTGCACGTTTTTGCACAGTACACTGCATGGGGAAAAACAACTTTGGTACACATGATTAGAACAAAACAGCAACCTGGATGAAAGTTGGACAAAACACTGATTCTCTGCTTTTAAAAGACACGGCCCAAGTTAAAACTAAAGAACTCACTAAAAATCTGTCTTAAGTCTATATAATTACACTGCCAAGGCTATAGGAACAACCCCTTTCCCCTAACAAAAGGACCTTTACTAATACCCTGCTTTATATGGTTTAGAACAAGGGATTAACTCATACAATCTCATTCCAGCCTTACAGAGCTACAGGCTTGAAAAGTCAAGGTGGAGATGGTGATGTTCAAACATACATGGACAACCTGAGACCACCGACCATGTAAGCTCCATGATGCAGTTTAAGATCTGGTTGAGTTTATATTAAGACTGTGGCTAAGTTTAAAGAATGAGTTAGGTGACATGGTTCAGTTTGTCCAAAAGAATGAGTTAGGTGACATGGTTCAGTGAAGTTTGTCCAGCTGTTTGCAATACAACAGATAGGCAGGCAAATCAGACGGCCAGTTCTGACCACAGTGACGATCGACTCATTCCAACTCTATACTGTCAAAATGGCAAATGACAGCTGCTGCTATGGGTGATTTCTCTTTCATCAGAACAATGCAAATATGCTCTCAGTATTACAAATGTTACATAAAACAGCTGGTTTATCAATGGAGCAAACCTTTATACAAAATCCACACACAAAATATTTACTGAAGAAAAATAAGAGCTCACGTGATCTAAAAACAGTAGCTTACTTTTCAAAAGCCCAATAAATAATTTCACACAAAAATCCCAAACAAACAAAAACTACAAAAGGCTTGATTATACTCAAACATGATCGCAGAAAAACACAATAGTCCTTTTTAAGTAAATGGTGTGATCAGTATCTGGCCTGATAACATTCCAAAGGCAAAAAGAAGTGGAGGCCATACAAGCCATGAAAAGTGTAAACGCATCAATAAGGCAATTTAAAAATGGTCATACTCACTTAGCATGAAAGAAACTAAAAGGTGATTTGGACACTGAATGTTTCTTGAACCATCATGCTTGGGACATCCAGTGACGATAGATCAGCAGTATTGTTACTTCAAACTTGCATGGAGTGCTTTCAGATTTTTCCTTGCACTGCAGTGGTGACAATCCTTGAACAGGTATTGTGATCTAGTGCAGTGGTTTCCAGCCTTTGAGCTTGTTACCCACTCTTACAGACTAGGTTAAACAAGTAGTCATTTTTTGCTTGTAGCATTATCTTTTTTTCCCCTTCTTGCCTGATGCGTCCTGGATGATACCAGGTCCTGATACCCAGGTTGGAAACCACCGATCTAGACTGTGTTAACTTAGGCAAAGCAATAGTCAATGTGTGCCAGGAGCTCCCTGTGGCGGCTGGTGGGATAGGGGGCGTGACACTTTGGACACTCCAAGAAACTTTCATCCAGGAGGTTTGTGACTTTTGATGGGGATGCAGGAGCTGGATGATCGCCGATAGTAAGACGGTCAAACTCAAGTTTATTGTAGCAGCTGGGCTCTGAAAAATGGGTGTTTGGCTGTTTCTGAAATACAAAACATTTCCTCACCTTCATTTGCCAAACTAATGTCAGACCTCTGCTTACAGCAGAAGTCAGACTTAATCAACTGAGGTTGTATTTCTCAAGGAACTGAGATTGAACAAGTGGTTGTGATGTGCACCAACACTTACAGCAGACTCCAGGTTAGCAATCTGATCACGGGCCTTGCGGAGCTCCTTCAGCACCTTGTGTAACTGGTGCTGCAAGTTCTGACGATCAATCTTTTCGTTCTCAAAGTCCTTAGCAGAGAGTTGTATCTTAGAAAAGGGAGATACAAAAAGAACACGCTGATACACAATCATCACATTTTACTTGGTTTTGAAATACTGTTGACAGTTTGTTTTCACTCTTCTTAGTCAGGATGAAGATATTTCCCTGTTTGACAGAGATTTTTGCCTGTAACAGCAGGAACGTTTCCTGTAACACAAAGCATTACCTGCTGCTCCAGTGCTGCGATTCTCGTCTGTTCTTCATTTAGGCTCAGAAGAGACTTTTGCAGCATATTCACCTGTGAAGGCCAAAATTTTCAGTATAACACAATGTTATAATTAAATAATTTGCCATTTAAAATATCTGGAATTCAACAGTATACAAATATTCTCATATATTTTAAGCTCTTGCATTTTAGTAAAACACAGGCCTGTAATTGTTGATGGATGGAGTCTTATAATTCCAGTGCTTTAAATGCAGGCTTCCTTTTATGCATCATGAGTGCTTTGGTACAATAAGTGGATGACTTTTATAAATCTTTACAGATGAGTGAAAGGTGTCAACAGATAATGCAACAATGAACGTTACCTGCAGCAGAAGTCCAGCAGATCTCTTCCTCTCCTCTTCCAGTCTGATGTCCATATTCTCCAGCTCCACTCTCATCCTGTCTGTCCGCTCAGATGATACCTTTCTCTCCTCACACACTACATGTCTGGGTGCAGTGTTTATATAATCCACATGCATATTAAGAATAACTCTGTTTACTTATACTGAACTCATGAAAATACCTACTAACGCTTGTTATTGTTAGCGAATTCCAAATTCCTATAGCCCCCAGGGCCAGTAGGTTATTCCACTATTATTTGGCAGATGTTGTGGACTGAGAATTTTAAAAAGTAACACTGTTAAAATGGTGGTATTTTTAGAGCGAGTTTAGCCTTTTTGATTATAGGCCTATATAGTTTCTTCACACTCAGATGTACTGCTTAAACTGAATCACTGAATTGAGAGCAAACTTTGATTTCTACCACCACCAGTGCTGTCTTTATTTTACCTGCTGCTGAGTTGTTCTGCCTGCAGCTGCATCTTGGCCTCCTCCACCTCTTTGCTCTTCTTTTCGTACCTCCTCAGAAAGGAGGACAGCTCACTACACTTCTCTTCATACTTCCTCTGCAGAACTGAAATCTCCTCCTGGAGCCTGGTGACTTGCTCCTTCTGAGACTGCAGCTCAGCCTGAGCGTTCAGGGTCTACAGAGTCACAGGAAAACAAATCAGCTGCATAAAGAACCAGCGTGTCGTGATGGGAGTGAACGTTAATAAATTCATACATTTAAAAAGGAGGCTTCAACATTTCTCAGGAACCTTTAGAATATAAGAATCAATCTTTATTAGACAGAAACCAGAATCCCTAAACCTGGAAAAGAGCAGAGTTGAAACAGTTTAATAATAATAATTAAATAAATTCCTATAGCATTTACCTGTTCCCTCTGCACTTTGAGCTCCTGTTGTACTCGGGTAACCTGATCTTTTTCCAGCTCCAGGTCTTTTTGCACCTCCAACAGCAACTGGTTATGTTGAGCATTCTTTTCTGGTGCTGCTGAATTGGCAGGAGCTGAGATGCAAATTGTAATTAAGCAAATTAAGAAGCTAGTTCGTGGCTTTCATTGAACTCAAAATTGTATATGTTAGGATTTATACTCTGATGTGCCATTTCATTGTCATGACCCTAAAAGGCCTCAGTGATGCTGTTCAATACCATGATTATTGCCAGATCATTTCCTGTCTGTAGTGTTTGAATTAAACTGTATAATTTACTCAAATTTCCATTTTCACATTCCATAGTTAATGTACCAGAACACAAAATACAACAGAGGAGTTAGATTGTTACTTTTATTTTAATTGTAATATTATAGTGAATAGCCTGAGGATGTTAGAAGTAGCCAATTCACTTCCTCCTACATTTCTCACCATGTGAACTGGCCTCTTGTTTGGTTTCTTGCAGCTTTGCCTGGGCCAGCTGCAGCTCCAGTTCCTGTGCACGGGCAACAGTAGACTGCACGTAGGCCTCTCTCTGCTGGTCGTACACCAGCCACTGCTGGTTTTTCTCGAGAGCCTGGTGGTAAAATGCACAACCCCTACGCTAACATACTGCATTCTAGATATTTTGACTCTACTGAACAATGAACCCCAGAGCCCTTAACAAAGCATAATGGAATCAAATGCTTCAAATACATGGCCGAGGGCAAAATATTTCAGTTACAAGCCTATGGTATTAAAAAAAAAAAAAAAAGATAGCAAGGAGGTACTTAAACAGGCACACACAACCACATACAGAAATGACTGGACTCAAAATTTGATATCTCACAATCTGTTGGACAGATTGCCATAAAATTTGTATGGCACATTCATGCTTCCCAAAGAAGGAATCATCCCACATTTGCTGACCTTATGACCTGTCCTAGCAGAGGATGGTCTAAGTGTGTCTAGAGGACATCTTAAGGCCACTGTTCTTTCATTATCAAGATATCAGATGTAAGAAAAATCGATCAACACATGAACCTGTGAAGCGAACAAGATGGGCCGTTAAATAAGATCAAAGAGTGGATTTTTGTGCTCTTTATGTCATGTTTTATTCTCTTGTTCTGAACCTTGTTTAAATTAGTGGTTAGTTTGTTTAAAGTTCATTTAAATAGAGTTCTAAACCAATCCAGTGGCTGAAGGACAAATAAGCAATAAGTCTGACAAGATGGTTTTGAAGTGCTGTATTTTACAGTCACATATACATATATACACACACACACAAGTCCTGGCAGCACAGAAACAGGCTCTGTTCAAGATCAATAGAGATAGTGGTCTACCATACCAGGCAGGACCCCAGGTGCAGGCTGCGCAAAGATGCCCCTGAGACAATCCAGCACATAACAGCAGGGTGCAAGATGTTAGCAGGCAGGGCATACATGGAACGCCATAACCAAGTGGCTGGCATAGTGTACAGAAACATCTGTGCCGAGTACAGGCTGGA